AATGTGTGAAATAATAATTTGTTTGTCCCGTAATCTGATAGACATTACATTGAGTTTATGGACCTTTGTACAGATTCAAGGGCTTGTTTAACATTCAATTTCGTTTTCTAACAATGTAAAAAAACAGACAGCATTTTCTATGTGAACGCCTATATGACTGGTGGTAAGGTGTCACTGACACATTTCTAAACTATTTTTACGGCTGTCTGGGGGTGATTTGTTCTCTATAAACCAATATAAAGATATGAAAATATATAATCAGTGAATGCTTTGAATAAATTGTTCGCCAGTTAATCGAACACAGTACTGAAAAACCTGGGACAAAGTATGAAATTTATTGTATATCCCAGTAGAAACTGGATCTCTATGCCGTGTATAGATGAATATTCATGATAATAGAAGTCAAGAAGGTCAGATCATAATGATCGAGTAACACCTTTTATTTCTATGAAAATATGTGAAGCATTTATATGACTTTGTTGGAAAATATATAATATCCCGTTATTTGTACATCGTACCACGGACTTTATAAAAATAGTTATGATTTTATAATGTCTCATCGCCGGTACGAAAAGGGAATCCCTGATCGCTTCATCATCAGTGAACCTTTTTTAATTCACCCTTACCCTACAATGTCTCTTTGTTTCTTTTTATCTCTTTTCAATAGGATAAGATATTGAAGAAATAACATTTACGACTGCCATGTATACATGAATGAATTGTTTACAGTTTTTGATTGACAAACTATAATATTTTTTAATTGTGTAGTTAGGTTGAAGATAAGTATCATAAAGATGAAATTTTAAATAAAAGTAATTTCAAATATGTATTTCATTTTGAAGTCGTTAAAATTAAATTTCAAATAAAAATAAAGGCTTTATTCACTGTTATCAGAAAATCAAATATCTTATTTTACACCAATATTATCGATTAAAACTATTGTGTACCCCTATGAAATCTACACTAATTCAAAACTGCATTCTTGAATAAGAGAAAAAGACTGGTGTTTCTAAAAAAAAGATGATATATCCACAAATTTCACTGAAAATTTCGCAACAATTTTGTTTAAGATATATTTACATCTTGTTTACCCTATGTTTTTTTTTGCAGTTATAGTTGTCCCGTGACACGGTTCTTTCTGAGGAACAAAATGCTGTTATTCTAATGATTTTGGATCAATGTCTTTACATTTGTATTGTTTAAAGTGTATTTGATTACTTAAAAGAATCGATCCGAGTGTTTAAAAAAGTATAAGACAATACGATTGCTTTTGAAAAACTATTGAACAATTTTAAGGGGTAGCAAGTAGATAGAATAGAGTATAGGTTAAATCAGATTTGGAATTTACTTAAGCAGTTTTAAGAACCTATTTACCAAACAAAATGCATCATTTTTACGTCAAAGTAATGAAAGTTTATTTCTTTTTTATCAACTTTGGTAATTTAAAAGATTTTTCTGATGAAAAAGCGAAGCAACTTTGCTCTTTGTTATTAGATACATTTTATGAAGTACTAAGAAAACAACAACAACATTTTTTATTAGTTCAATATGATATATTATTATTTTATATACTGGATTCTGGCAAAAACGATTGTATGAGACATGTTATAATTGTAACTTAGTTATGTTATGTTGTGTTGTGATTGCTATCAATATTAATAAGATAAATTTGTTCATTCTTATTGCTTTCTTGAAAGAATGAAAACTGAAAATGCGTTTGTAATTACCCGAACGATTATCAAGCAGTTACTACCGAATTGCATCTGATGGTCGGACATATTCAAATATGTTACATATTGCATTTTCTTTTAAAGGGGTACTCAGGCAAATAAATGACAAACATATTAAAACTATTCAATGTACTCAAATCACGCTAAAATGACATTTTTTAAAGTTCCAGCATGAATTGCTGTATAAAATCTATATATTTTGGGTTTGAAGCGTAAATATATCTAGAAATATTGAACGAAATTTAGACACCGACAATTTTAAATCAAGGCATGTGACCCTGGACATTAAAATAGCAGATTTTGTGGGTACTGTATGCTTGAACTACAAGTCTAAGTCATGGCAACTGTTGCAACTATTGTGAAATCTTTACGCTCTAACCTGATCCACGTGGGTCAAGTTAGTAAACCAGCATTTCATTCTTTGTAAGGAGAAACGTTTTGTTGCCTTTGACTGCCTAGTGTATTTAATTTGAGGACATTTACAGAATAATGAAACAAGTTAAATTATTTAAATCTGTGGTAATCAAAATAAGTCTGTTTTGCATCAAAAACAATGCTACATGTACAAGTGAAGAAGTGATAAATAAGTCATAATACCATACTTGACGTAATATGAAAGACAATTTAAAAGAAAATAACTGATTAGAAAGAGAGATTTTAACTTAATTTCTCAAAAAGATTCATAGAGGTACTTGAAGAATATAAGGCAAAATTGTCCAGACGCATGTATAATATCATGAAATCAAATACTTTAAACATCAAACAGTATGTTTATTAAGGCAATCGATTAAATCACTATTGATTCAAGACCATTGTATATTAACTGTTTAAAATTTTAATAAAAACCTCGTCAATTTTGCAAATATTGTATTGTACAAAATGTAATGTACTAGTATATCAATCACACTGTCATTTTATTGAAACATAAGGTAAACATGAAACGATTACGTCTCTTACATATTATGTCATACTCAAAGGAAGTTTTATGACAAAATGCCTCTGGGATGAATGAACTGTTACATCATTAAAATTTTAAGTCTTCAGTGATACATCTTCAAATCAGTATAATAATCAGTTTGCCTTACATTAAAAAATCAGATTGAAAAGCATCTCATAATCTTTTGCATTATGCTCAACACCGCGTTTAATGTTTATTTTTAACAGGGTATAATTCTCAAAATGATCAAGGATAAAGTAGTATTGCTATCAATTATGTATCATAATTCCAAATAGTTTCCTGTAGTTGATTAATTGCTACAAAAGATAAAACTTCTTATAAATATGTTAAACTATAATGTGATAAAGTAATTTATTATCAAGCATATTCTTTATAATATTTAGGTTCTGTGATAATATAGATAAATATAGATAAATTCCCTAAGAAATATTTACATAGGTACAGAGGAGTTCATCTTACTGTGTCGTAGGGAATCATGTAGTTATATCGATGTCTGGCGGGTTTTGGAAACCCTGAAAAATAACTTAAAATACAAGAGTTATCCGTCATTAAGTTTGATATGTAACACAAGTAAACCTATAAATAAAAACTATTTCAGTACTCGTTGGAAAAAAACGACACCAAGATGGATTCGACAACAACGTTTTTAATCTCTTAAGAAACTATTGTCAGAACATCAACAGCTCTAACAACATAGGCATATTGCTTTCATGTTGACAATCCCAGACATATGAACAACTTACTCCAGACGTTTTAACTGCTGTATATTGTAATTTTGTCAAGACTTCATAAATGCGGTATCAGAAGTTTGGTGATACGCGCGCATCGTATGACTCCCCTTGGCATTGTATCATTCATATAAATAATTCAGTGACAAAACAGAGAATTTGATCAATTTGATATCATAAATAAACAACATAAATATAACTAGCTTCAAATAGCATTACATTATTGGACCTAAGGTAATTTTCACAGGTTCTTTTTTGAGTTTCATTACAGTAACTTACATTAACGAACAATTGCCAAAAATTATGTTACATTCCCTAAAAACAACATCTTAAACGTTTTATTTAAAAACAGAGTAAAAAAAGATTACTCTCAAGATTACTTTTTTGTATATCTAAAATACACGTACAATCGTATTGTTTTTGTCAGATTCATCAACGTTTAAAACTTCCTGTTTGAAAGTAAAGCATATTTTGTTTTAACTTTCATCGTACAAGCTCTAAATCATAAAATAACTGGAAAGATATTTTGTAAAAACGTTTAATTGTATAAAGGATGTACGAAGTTGATTTTCACATCATAATGTTATAGTTAAGATGAATGTAGAAAAGTATTTGGTCCCACTACATTAAAAATGTTTTAGATTTTATTTATACGCACAATGTTTAAAATGTAGTGAGCTAAAGAGAAAAATATTTTTTTTAATGTAATATAATACACTCTAATTAATTCTTAAGTTCAGTATATTTACGGGAGATATTGATTTCGCTGGTCTTGTTTAGGTAGATATCGCGTGCAAATATTAAAATTTAAATTTTAAACCAATATAATAAACGTATTTAATTTAATGAATAGAAAATAAACCTTCAGTGATGTGACATTTAAAGTTTAAACGTGTGTGTATGTTATGTGGATAAATCTTATCACATACAGGAAGTTAAATGTTTGTGTTTTAATTTTGGAATAAACTATGTCAAAACAGGTATTATATTTTTGTTGTATTTGTATGATTAATCTTCAATATTATGTCCTTTATTGAATTTTTTTTTCAATAAATGTTGTCTGTGATTTTTTTGCTCTTATAAAAATAACAGGCTAATCACTCAAATAATACCTGAAAAGAAACAGTAGTAACTGACAATGAAAATAATGCAAAACAAATAATTAATTAATTAAAAGGCCCACAGAGTAAAGGATACGAGATTCGGGGAAGGGAAAGGCAAAAAAGAAAAGTTTTCTGTTATTATTATGTTAATTTTGTTGATGTATATTTTACAAAATTAATGAATATTCTCATATATAAAATGTTTATGTTCAATGTAAAATGTTTCTGCCAAGAAACTATTTGATTTGATTTGACTTTGACTTTTAATAATCACATAGAGTACAATTACAACACAAATAAGCTGATAAACTTCAGACCGTATTACATGCAGTTATTGATTTCATTTAGTAGTATCAAAGTTAATTAATTTTAGTAATAGCATACTGGCCTTAAAATGGTTATTGTTTCAACAATGCAAAACACAAAGCTAAATGCGACTGTTATGCGTATTGTGCAATAAATGTGTGCCTTATTTTCATTTGATGGAACATCTTAATGAAGACGAGAAATGAATGTAATTGCTTTGACATATGTCTTAGGTACTTTTGTGATATCAGGTAAGTCATTTATTTTTACCTTAATTTGCTTTCTCTCTCAACATTGAAATATTTGACAGGTGTAGAATATGACAATTATAATTGGATAAGCCTTAGTAATGTTTAAACAGTGAATGAATATCTTAGAAGATTTTTAAAAACTTTATTCCAATGTCATTTGTTATTTTTAGTTGTAAAGCCAGACGACATCGAGCTGTTGCCAAAAATAGTGAATGTTGTTGAGAATTCAAGTGTAACATTAACATGCTCGAAGAAAAATGGATTTCTCTCAGAGACAAGATGGATGAACTCTCAAATTACCGAAAATGCAAACCTCGCCTTTTCTAACGGACAATGTATCGTCACTAGGTTTTTGCTTGATAGCAATTTATATGACGGTTTATGCAACGGAAATGGAACTTATTCTGTGCTTCTTAAAAAAATTGATCGTAAGCACCATGGAGGTGAATGGACGTGTATGGAGACATTATTTAGCGTTAGTAACATAGTGTCCATTTATGTTTCAGGTAAGTTGAATCTTAAAAGAAAAACATAAAATATTGTAGGACAACATAAATTGGTTTTCAATTTATAGATTTAAATGTCATCGTTCTTCAGTAAAGCATTTTAACAGTAACACGTTTAATATCCATATCGGTACCTTAATTGCGAAATCTGTTAAAAACGATACCGTCGTTGCACATGCACAGGTTACTATTTGCTGAAAACAAAACAAATCGGCGACGGTCACCAATCCAGTGAATCCTCATTCAACTGTTAAAGGTTGTTATGTGGCGTGAAAAGCAAGTATACCACGAACACTAGAATGTTTTTTCATGTCACAGGTGATAATTTCAGATTTAAACACATCCATTGCATTTTCCAGATAGAATATACGGCTGGCTATACCCTGATTAAATAGATATAACCCTCGGCTAGGGCCTTGGGTAGTATTTATCTTATTTAAGCTATATGACCTGTATTTTCTGTATGCAACTTACATGTATAAATAATGATATTTTATATATTAAATATAATACAACGCGTAATTTTCCAGTCCCCGCCGTGAACGTTGAAATTCGTTCAGATGAAAACATTTACATGAGAGAAAACCAAACGCAAACTGTACGCTGTCAAACCTCAGCATGTCGGCCGAGCCCTGCAGTAAAATGGTTCCTCCGCACTTTCAAACACAATGTTACATACGACATAACGGAAAATTCGACACAGTCATATATTTCACAAGATTATGGATTGATGGCTACGGAAAGTATACTCGTGTTCTTTCCAAATAAAACAGTTAACAATTGGCACTTATTTTGTGAAGTTTGGACAAAACGAGAAAAGTCTGACATATCAAGCAAAGAGTTTTTGGTAAATGTGCTATGTAAGTCCTTACTATTTTTATTATGAACATTAAAAAGTTATATTTGTAGTAGAAATTGTACACACAAACCGGTATTGTAACTTTTAGTTGCAAATAGTATAGACTAAAAATCGAAAACTTTTATAATTGTGCAATATTTGACTTCAAACCCCATTCACTTATTTGTGATATAATTTTAAAATCAAAAGATCCACCTGAAGGCCCTCCAGTAATACATGGCTACAAAAACGGCACGGTACATCAGGTTGTTGAATCAGAATTAGGCACAATAAACTGCTCTGTTAGTGGAGGAAATCCATTGGCTACCCTCACATTGACTTGTTTCAACAGACAATCAACAGCAGACACAACAGTTACGAGTTACGTAAGTTGGAAAGCAATTCGCAATCAGAGCGAATGCACGTGCGAGTCGGATCATGTTATAGGTGGTAAACTAATTACATACCTCAAGTTCGAAGTTATGTGTAAGTGTTGTTTTAATTTATTCAAATTTTTATTTCGTTAAATATTTGTAAACAGTTTCGTTGCATTATATGTAAAAGCCTGTCTGTATATACTATTTCTTAGTTTTTAACATTTTAGGGACATATTATTTATTTTTTACCCATTCACTATATTATAGAAGTAATGTTTTATTTTTACCCCTTGATTTGAGTTCACGAAGGCATTATAAAGATAGCATAACAAATTCGGGGATTCACATCTTAAACAAATACATGAGGTGCCCCTTTACGCAATTTGTCACACGCAAGATTTTGAGTAAATAATGTTAAAATGTAATCAACAAGGCATTTTGAAAGATGGTTTGATAGCGTTAATGTGCTGCCAGACTTATTTGACTTAATTCGAGTTAAGGTATAAATAGACATAATAATTTGAGACCATAGAGTTCCCAGTCATTCACTTCCTTGACGCCGTCTTAAATATGAAAAAAAGCAGAGTGAAAATTATTGACATTGATTGTCTACATATTTATTTAGATACCCTCAGTTTATAACAGTTTTGTAGTAACATTTGATCTCTCTTTATATATTTAGTTCCTCCAAGTGCGGTTTATTTATCTACTGAAAGAGGATCAGAGAGAGGCACTATTGTAGCTAACAATGGTGAAGAGGTGATGCTTAATTGCGTTGCAGAATCAAATCCTAAGCCGGACATAATTATAAGAGACCAACGAGATATACAGTTAACAGTTTTAAAAAATAACAGATTTGTTAACTATACAATACACAAGGTGTCCTGTGACGATGCTGGAGAGTATACATGTTATGCAAGAAATACGTTAACAGTTGGACAAGAAGCAAAATCCAAACTGATTCTCATTGTCAGATGTAAGATACAACACTTATGTAAATTAAAGTAAACACATATTTTCTTCCTCTCTTGTAATTGTTAAATTTTGAAGCCCTAATATCAAGTTCAGACAACAGTGGTACTTTTCTTTGATTAATAGGTATTTTGAGGTGTATTTGTCAAGCTATAAGTAGACGTAAATGCTTACTAAAAACAAGCATGGAACGCATATCATAAAGTACAAATAGTTAGCTATTGGCGTGTAATAAATAGAACTTTAATTTTGTAGTTTGATTTTTATCATCAGGTCCGCCACGTCCGAAAACTGTAAAAGACGACAATGTAACAGCCATTTTGCGGTCTGACGTCACACTGCAATTTACAGCACATGACTTTTTTGATGAGCAAAACAAAACAGAATTTACATGGTATAAACAAAACATGTCATTACAAAATGGCGGAAGTAAACATATAATTTCATCATATGGATTACAGTCAGTCTTAATCATCAGAAATATTACTCAAACAGATTATGGCCAATACCGAGTTATTGTCAGGAATTCAGTTGGACAATATATTCATAATTACGAATTGCAAATAAAAGGTAAATAGCTATAGCTAAAACATTATAAGCACATTACGGTGATTTTTGTGCCCTAACTTTAGGGGGATTTAGATTTAGCCTTGTCCGTCCGTCCGGTCTGTGTCGCAAGTAGCTCAAAAAGTATTTGACTTAGAGTAATGAAACTTTACAAGAATGTTGGTCAGCATGTGTGGTTGTGCACCTTGGTATTTTTGTGTGAATTTATTTAGGATTATTTTAGAATGTTGCCCTTAACTTTGTAAAAAAATGCAATTTTCAACTAGTGCCCCACGTAACTCAAAAGTATTTTACCTACCCCCAAGAAACCTTACAGGAATGTTGCTTGGCATGTGAAGTTGTGCACCTGGGGTTTCGCTTCTATTTAATCTAGAGTCATGAAACTTAACAGGAATGTTGGTCAACATGTGCAGTGGTGCTACTAGGGTTTTGCTTATAGATTTTATTCAATATTTGTAGAGTTATTGCCCTTGATTTAGTAAAAACAGTTTCATTTTTTTGTGTTATTTTTTCTTTAAGTTCTTGAGTTAAAATCAACCAACTTTACAGGAATAATGATCAACATCATTGTAAAGCTATGCACCTTGGTTTTTGCATGTGGATTTTTTTTCAGTTTTGTTTGTGTTATTGCCCTTGACTTAGTATAAATTTGCAATTGTCAACTTGTTCATGTATAACTCAAAAGGTATTTGACCTGAAGGCCTGAAAATTTACAAGAATGTTGGTCAGCATATGTACATATGCACATTGGGGTTCGCTTGTCGATTTATTCAGTATTTGTAAAGTTCTGGCCCTATACTTAGTAAAATATATTTAGTTTTAAACTTGTGGCACATGGAGCCCAAAGAATATTTGACCTTGAGGCATAAAATTGACAAAACAGTGAAGTGTGGGGCACCTGTGTCCTATGGACACATTTCTAGTTGTTAAAGATTTATTTTCCTGGCGTGTTAAAATTAGATTGATAGATAATTATGAAGTCCTCTAAAAATGAATGAAAAATAAGAAAGTTACATCTTAAACCTCTTTAGACTATATTTCTAATGTTTTCAACTTCAGTTTGAAAAGTCTGATATTTAAAATTGTATCGTTCAACAACATCATAAACAGGTATGCAAAAAACACACATTCGGTTCTATTATTTTAGACTATTTACTGAAACCAAACATTACAGTGCATATGAAGAATATTATATGAAAAATGGTAAGCTATGTGTCAATATGAGCAATGCTATTGTTTCTCTTTGCAAATATTACAGAAAATCAAGAACCAGAGGACTCAACTATAACTGGGATAATCATTGGTGTCGCTGTTGGTACATTTGCTTTCACAATTTTAGTAGTTGTTTTGTCATTGATTGGTTACAAATACATGTATATCAGGTAATGTACATCTCAATTTATTTTAATATGATATAGTGAAAAACAAAACAGTACTTGTTTTATTTGAATAGTTTCTTGTTTTTGAATGCTATTGACATTAAAATGTGACAATATAAGTCTAAATTATTCATATATAAATTCATTTCAGACGTAATCATAGTCTTGAAAGAAGTGTTACGCAAGCAACTAGTAAGCATACCTAAATAATTTTTTATTCACCAGGTAAAGCAATATGAGAAATAAATCACAAGTTCTTTGTGTGCAAATTATCTTAAATAGTTGCATACATTAAGCTATTGTATCTAAGTTTTTTTTCATATTTCATATTTTGACAATTGTATATAAAGTTTGGTGGATATGTGCTGATTTCATTTTCGATGTAATTGAAACAAGGTATATTTAAAGCGCAACATATGCAAAGTTACCTCTGAGTGCACGCATTAAACTAACTTAAATTTTTCAGGAAATGAAAATGATACTGTCTCTGAAAATCAGACAACATCTACATATGACGACATAAACCTTGCTTCTGACCCTAAAACTGTATACGAACAACTTGATGATAAAGGAAGAGAGGGTCAAGCGTACATGGAAATGCAGAATATCAAAACAGAAGAAACCAGTCGTGACTATATAAACATGACGGTTTAAATAATAAGTGTTATCAGTTCTGTGCCTCGGGACCAATTTTAGTACGAATTAGTATACATATTTTAAATCGAGGGCAACCGCCATCTAAATAAGAAAATCGCAATGTAAAAAAATAATTTACCCCGGGAACTTAACAGTTCTTATTCATCAATGCTGAAAGTATTATATTGTGCAGAACGAAAAACAAATATTTGTGTGCGATAGAATGAATTAGTTTGCATATTTTTGTTTAATACCAGATTAGAGTGGATCAGCAAATTACTCCTACCATAAGTTGATTTTATTTTAACTTTCTATGTTAGAACTACAAAAAGCTTTATCAATAACATATTGATAAACAGAACTTTTAATATAAATACCACATAAAAATTGTTTTTGTTACTTATTTTGTTAAGCATCTACTAAAATGCTTTACAAACAATACAACTGAAATAATTCCGTCAAGATATTCAAAATATAAACAAATATTGTGTAAAGGGTTTAAATATTCGAAAATGCATATTGTAAAAGGTTTATGACAATTACACGTAATAGCATATATTTGGCGGAAACTATTTAATTACTATATCAAATTTTACCATACATTTTGGCAACAAATATTAGAATAATTCTATTTACAAGCATAAATATGGGTACAAAGATTAACAAAAATATTCCAAACATAAAGAATAAATGTGACAAAATTGACATACGTGCTTCCTCAGTTTTACTTAGATATTCTAAAACCGTTGCCAAGACCATTTCACGAAACATTTAAAATTTGTAAACGTGAGGGATATCATTTTTAGCTCGACTTTTTTTTTGTTGAAAAAAAAAGTAGAGGTATTGTTATAGTCGCGGCGGCGTTGCCGTTGCCGTCCGCAAACTTGTACCTGGATCATAACTTTTTTATTTCTTGGTGTATTGTCTTCAAACTTGGCCACAACAACCCTTGGGACAAGACCTTTCAGTAGACCCCACTAACCTTGACCTCATCCATAAATGACCTTGACCTTCAAGGTTAAAAGTCCAAATTTTGCTTGTTCATGCTGTTATTGGCTGTAACTTTGTTATTTTTCAATGGATTGTCTTCAAACTTGAACATAATAATGTTCAAGGATAACCCTTAAAAATAACCAGACAGACCTTGACCTTCACTCATTAATGACCTTGACTTTGAAGTTCAAATTATCGAAATTTTCATTGTTTTGGCTGTAACTGGCTGTAACTTTGCTATTATTGAAGGGATCAACTTCATATTATAATAAAACATACTTAAGACAAGACGTTGTGGTTTATCAAACACTTGGGCTCTTTAATGACCTTGACCTTGATGGTTAAATTACTAAATTTTCTCAGATTTGTGTATTAAATGACCATATATATTTATTGGGGTGCGTGTGTATATATATATATATATATATATATATATATATATATATATATATATATATATATATATATATATATATATATATATATATATATATAAATATATATATATATATATATATATCATCATCATCAGCAACACGTGTCACCACCACCACGTGACTCCACCACGTGACTTCACCACGTGACTCCATCACGTGACTCTACCACGTGACTTCACCACGTGACTCTACCACCACGTGACTCTTCCACCACGTAATTTCACCACGTGACTTCAACAAGTGTTTTCACCACGTGACTCTACCACCACGTGACTCTACCACCACGTGATTTCACCACGTGACTTCACCACGTGACTCCACCACGTGACTCTTCCACGTGACTCAACCACGTGACACCACCACATGACTTCACCGCCTGACTTTACCACGTGACTCCACCACGTGACTCTACCACGTGGCACCACCACATGAACTCACCACGTGACTTCACCACGTGACTCCATCACGTGACTTCACCACGTGACTCCACCACGTGACTCCACCACGTGTATCTATTTATAGAATTTTCTATTTATAGAATTGCGTGTTTCTATTTATAGAATTGCGTTATTCTATTTATAGAATTTTCTTTTTATAGAATTGCGTGTTTCTTTTTAAAATATATAGACAAAACTAATGTGACAAGACAGACTGATTAATTTTATGAAAAGGAAACGTTAAAGATTTTGTTCAAACATATCTTTGTTTGCTTTTAGAGAAAGTGAAAAGTCGAGCGTTCCCCCCGCCCGGCGGTGGCTCTTGTTATGTTACAAGTAATGAAATACCAGAAAGAGTTTTTACAAAATTTAAAGGTTATGTCCAACAATTTTAAATTTCATAGAAAATAAGTATTTCGTAGATATATATTTATCTGTTGAATTTTTAATATTTGATAAATATTTATAGATATATCAAATATTGATTGACTGACTGAAAGCTTTTTAAATGTAAAAGTGATATAATGTATTCACATCAAACCGACAAAATTTATGTATATAATACTTAAAATACCAAGACCAATATCTATCATAAATACTTTTATATAAAAGCAATTTATCTTTTTAATTTGATTCTGTAATAATTTTGATTTTTTATCATTGTGCGATGTTTTATTTAAAATGGTCGTATTACTATTTATACCCTTTTGTCTGTATATCCAACTCAAGATAATATTTCTCCCCTAAAACTCAAGCAAGAAAGCAATAAAAAACATCAACAAAAATCATTCTTTTCTGTTTGATATTGTATGGTTCTCATTGCAAATTATCCTCATACACATCTGAACAAAAGGGGTTTAAGTCAGCATATTTTTTCAGAGTACCCTTGATGCTTTACATGTAATGAATGTTTTAATGTAGTTTTGTTTTAAATTTATATGTATGGGAATCATTTATCAGTTTCAAGACCAATGACAAATGACGCTAGTATTTGCTTAGAATCACTGTATTCAATGAGACAATAATTGTTAAATATTGAGCCAGATGTTAATATTGCTTCATACTATTTATCTTGGTTTGCATGTTAATTGTATTTCATTTCTTTGAGAAAAATAATGTGTCTCGAACATTATTCAATAAAGAAGATTAAAAGGTCAATATGCTAGAATATCTTATGTGTAACGTCAAGAATTATTGTTACTTGTTTTTGTGCAAATATGTTTTATGTTAGTCATTTTTCTTTCAATATAACACAGAAAATTGTATCTTATTTGTAACAACAGTGATTGGGATATCTGAGGAAAGAAGCGTTTATAAATGTCAATTGTTAATTGCTACAATTGAAATCTTTTTAACTACTCATAGTAAATGCAGTTAATGTACTCTTTCTCAATTAATATTCTTTTTTATTTCCCTGCAGCTTTTATACATGCACACTTATGTTATCCACTTGTGTTAGGAGTTTTAGTACAATATTTTAAGAATCATTGGATTCTTAATTGTTAAGTATTATAGTCGTTGCAGTTCTTTAATAACTAAAACTGATATAAAATGGTTTATTCAATAACATTTCATTTGAAAGTTGCTTTAGTGTTTAGATAAAAGTGATGCACATCGCCTGAAAGTATTTCAGTTTTGATTCAATATTTTGTTTTTTTTATCTCCGAGTATTAAGAAAATAATTGATCATACTAACACATCAGCCTTTCATTTGCTTTTAAAATCTAGCAGGACATAAAAATGGTCAAACAGCGAAAATATGTTATTTGGCTGAACTTATCTTTTCTCCAAAATGAAACTTGTATAAATCAAAATGTAACAGATCTATCTGCACAATTAAAAAATAATCAAGGATAATGTCATGTTTGTGCTTAGGTAATAAATAAATGAAAACAAATCATGAAACAGGAAATTCATAGTATTTAAGATAAGAAATAATAATGAACCGCTTGTCCTAAAATTAAAGAATTATGTTTTAAGTTTATTTTCTTAAATATATAATTATGATGTATTAGTTATAATGCAATATTGAAAGCTTTATGTATAATGCTTATCCTGTACTATACATTCACATTTTGAATTGAATATAATTTTTTTATTACCTATTGATAAATATTGCTAATAAATTCTTTAAAAGTAACTTTAAAGATTGTGTTGATTGAAAATATTTTAATTACAAATAAAGTAATAAACATTGTGTAAAATCTACATAAACATGCAAATCTATAAGCAAACATATCTTTGTAAAAGAAACATTTTAAGTCAAGAGATTGGTCGAGGTTTTATTTCTTTCTCACTGGTACAAATCTCGTGGGAATTATTTAGGACAATTGGCAATAAAAATAAATTTACTCAGAGGACACTTTTTCTTATCTGTGACATTCACAGTTCGTTTAAACCTATTTCTAAAGATATAATGATGCAAATAAGAAATCCTGTTTGGAGCATACATCGGTAGCACAAAAAGGACAAGACAGAACGGAAAATGACTGAATCAGTTGAATCTTTGAATAGCTAATTTGAAAGCAGTTAAACCAGCCAAAACGTTTGGTTCATTTAGTTTGACTTAAATTGATCGAATTGGCTATGAATAACTGAAGTTTTCATATCAATGACTGGTGTTGAAAAACACAACTAAAACAATTCATTCAAAATTCATTCATGTCATAAATTACACTCTGGTATTTTATCTATTTATTTTTTTTAGGAATAATATAATTTTATCTATTAATTTTATTTAGGACTTTTCATTTTATTCAGGACTGTTATTGTTTGTTTTTATATAACATGATAACAAATGGTGTGGAACAACATAAATAAAGTTTAATAAACGGACACATGCGTACGCTGGAGAAATGAACGTTTTAATCTGCCATTTTGCAATAAGAAATATTTGTGATTGCATTTCTGCAGTAATATTTATTATTTTATGCGTCAATGCAAAAGTAGTTTCAAGTAATACATGAAGAATTTGAGTCATCTTGCAACAATGCTTATTGTTGAATTAAGGGCGTTTTGCATTGATCATAAGTAACAAAAATCAGTATTCCCCTTGTTTTTAAGTTTCTTTATTTTTTTCAACATTTTTGGCATTTAAAACATAAACGCATCTCTCATTATAAAGTAAGGTTTATCGATTTATAATAACACAGACAAGGACGACGATACTTTCTTTTCCTTCGAACAAATCATAATGCCTAAATTACATCTTTGTAATGAGATGTTACAAAAGACAATATAAAAGTGTTAAAAGTATTTAAAAGTGTTTAATAATTTATTCTGATGACTAATCGGAGGTTATGCACGAAATAGAGAATTTCATAAGTTATACTTAACAGACTTCACCAAAATATTTTAAATGATGCAGACAGATCTTTACAATCCATAATCTAATCAATGACATAACTGCATTACAAACCACAACATTTTCCGACAGCTAAAGGAGCTCTTCTGAAGATACCAAGCAATTTTGTCAGACTCAATTACGTCATTGCATTATTAATGACACTCGAAATGATAGTGTTACTTCTTGAGTCAGTCACAATCACAGGTATCTGATTTAACTTACAGAATAAAATTAAAATACAGAAAGTTTGCGTTAAATGAAAGGCATAAAATCATTAAATTTGATAGGAGCAGAAATTGAACATACACTCTCATCACATTTATAATCAAACAAATAAACGTTTTTTTTTGTTTATTTATACAATTTTATTATGTAGTGTACTTTATTAACGCTTTGTTTAACCATTTATATTATTTCGTTTTTAATAGACTTTTATCATTATTTGTCGATAACGTTTACTTGTTTTTATTCATTTTCATACTGACTAAATAATGACACAGTTGATTGTGCATTGTTTTCTGCATTAAAATATAGAATAGGTTAAACTGTTCGTGAAATAGATGTCTTAAGAAGAAAATTTTAAAACTTTAGTGTTTAAATAAGTAGTATCAAGTTTTATCCGTTCAATTATTTACATCGTCATGGTAGGCATAAGTTGTAATATTAATGGACGCCTCGCATAGCATTATTAAATGTTGTAGGCTTGGCCTTATTGGCGGGGAAAGGACAAAGGAAGCTATAGCCCATGACTATAAGCACCGCCTTTAAGAGAATTGAACATAAGAATAAGATTATGGTGGTAAAAGCAGAGTTCGGTTCTGAATTAGACATGATCGTTTGACACTAACGAGAATCAATTTTCAAAAGTAAATTAAATGATATTTTAAGATGAGATCAAAGAAGTCACAGAAAGCCAACGTTATATAACCAAATTTTTGTGCAAATGATAAGCGTATTATGCTTCATAATGATTTACACACTTATTGACTAATAAAATACACTTAAACGTGCCGTGATTAAGCACAAAAACACACTGGCAGTAACAAAAGTTATCATAAGAACTCCAGGACATATTTTGAGTTATCGCAAGAACTCCGTAACATTTGAAAAATCGGGTATAAATTTATTAGCCCGGGATTTATGTTTGCAACTCTCCATAATAATTAGGAAATTTAGTCTAGCAACGAAGAAGATCACAAATGAAAAGGTCAATA